AACCAAGAGATAATCATTTTTAATTAAAAAAATTATCTTTCATTAACTGATATTGAAATCCAAATTATATAAAGCCCAAACAGGCATGCGACAGTCAAAAAGATTCAGTGATCCTGAACACATCAAAGTTGATGCTATCCTTAGCCTTAGCAGAAATGATATTAAAATCTACACTGAACTTCTTACAGGACACTGTAGACTTAATTACCACATGAAGATTAAAGGTGCGGTAGAAAGTAACTCCTGTCGACTCTGTCATGAGGAGAAGGAAACATCAGAACATGTTCTGTATAACTGCCTAGCGGCGGCAAGACGTAGACTCGATTACCTTGGAAGCGGGATCCTAGTCCCAAATCAAATAGGTAAAATCAAGCCCACAACAATTGTAAAATTTATAAATAGTCTAAAATTGTCCTAGTTGGGCCTATAGGCGCACAATATATCTTTTAGGTCAGGGTGCTTTAAATAGCCTATTAATAATAATAATATAAATTTAAAAGACATTTATGCATGTAATGTGAATATATTAAATACGATAAATACACCTTTATATAGCTTCTACATATAACTCCCAATTACTGTTACTATAATCTTGGCTCCTATTCTTATTCATAATGAGATAGTTAAGAAAAATGTATCTTTTGTGAAATATTAAAATTTTCGTGCTTTATGAGAAATGAAAAATGTATCTAAAAAAAATTTTATGTTGAATTTTTATTTTACTTTCGAATAAAAAATTCTATTGGAATGCATGTTTGCAACCATATTGGATTTCAAGGATATTTCAATAACAACACATATTTTATATTTAATTTGAATTTCGGAAAATAATTTTCATTTTCCGCATTTCTCTATTATGAAAAAATTCAAGTTGAATAAATTTCTATTAAAACAGATGCATATATTTAAGACAAAATATATAATAAACATCAACGAAATAAAATGATGACTTAATTTTAATATTGGACTGGTATTCTCTAACTTAAAAAATTAAAAAAATTAAAAATGGAATAAATTTTTTATCATAGAAATTTATAAACGGTTGCCAATAAGTTTTACATATCCGAATTTTTTTAAAATATTAATATTATTAATTTTTCATTTTCTTGGCTTATAAGATATACTGTTTATATGCAAAATTCATATTGAAGATGATCTATCAACTTATCTTTCAAGAAATTACTAAAAGGTTCCCAAATACAAGCAAATACAAGCAAATGGCGTACCCAAAGGTGGAGATATAAGAGGCTGTAGTCAGACCCTCTTTCTTCCTTTAAATTTTTTTAAATAAATTTTTCCCCTACTACTGGGATAGATCCCATATTGCTCCTATTTGTATTTGAACACAAGAGAATGTACAACCTATGAGTTGTACTTATACAACTTGATATACTTGACTTGATTTCCAAGAAAATATATATAAATATATATAATCATATGTTCTCTATATATATAAATATAAATATGGAATATTGGTTAATGCAGTAGAATAACCGATTTTTTCCTATTGTGTTTATTTAGAGTTAAGAGTTACTAATTTAACAATAATTATATACGAAATTATGTTAAGGTCAAACTACCATATTATAATATGCATTTATAAAAATATTATGGACAATCATATAAAGAACAGACAAATTCGGTACCAGTTTCATTTATTTTAAATATTAGATAGATATTAATAGATATTCTTAATAATTTTTAGTTTGGATTTTGTTATATTTATTTTTATAAATAAGGATTAAGTCCATAGGTAAAACAGAAAAAAATACACAAGTCAGTATGACGCCATAGTTATTATATTTTCATATTGTGAATTCTACAAATTGTGATTTGTGGTTTTCCATATATATTCTATTGCAAATATTTGAAATTCGGAAATAGTTTATTTTTTAATTAATTTCATCTAAAAATAAACTCTGTAATGGCAAATCCATAAATCACAATTACCATACTGATTTCGGAGACATAACCTCAAATAAGTATAAGGCATTCTTATAATCTTTAACACGTCCCGGAACATTTGATTATTGTTTTTAATAATATTATTTTTTTCCAATTTTCAATTACGTGCCATAATATGGTATTATGGTGAAGATTCCAAATCAATAATATGTAAAACTTTGTATCTCAAACAAGTATCTCAAAAATGTTGACAATTACTGGGGTTATAAGCTGGTTTGACTGATTCCAATTAGGTCTTAGCAGAGAAGTAATGCCTTAGCTAAATACCTATTTAAGATACTCATTAAAATAGATATTACTACTCGTACTATACTCCACTAAGCTACTAAGCTACTTTAAGCAACATAAACTTTTCAACATATTAAAGTTTGTTTTCATTTTACTCACACTACACATTTTGGACCCCTGTATAATCTCTAGAACTATTTGCTAATTTTCATTTTCTACACAACCAAGTGAAAATATTTGTTTAACCAAAATACCTAAGCCTAAAATTATAAAAAAAATAGGATAGGAAAATTTTTGAGTCAATATTGCGCACAAATTAAGTTTCAGTTAAGCCAAAGCTGCATTGGTAACTCCACCGATCCTACCGCAAAATACAAATAACAAAACAAATATTTTCACTGCAGAATAATCGAACACAAACAACAAACCTGACCGGCATAGCAATTCCTAGTGATGTGGTTAAATGGCCTCATTACTGCACTAAACGAAAATCGTCTTTCAACATCAACAATTTCTGCTACAATCCACATTCTACACATCTCTGGCCAAATCGTAAGTGAAATTTCATTTTGCAACACATAACAATTCGTCTTACATTTTCATCCGTTTCCGGTTCAAACGCAAAAATACCAAACATAAAGTGAAGAAAAAATTTGAAATTTTTAGTACCGTAGCACCCGGACACGTTTCACATTTCAGTACCAAAAATATTACAAAATTTACCCAAATTGGTACTGAGTGTGCTGAGACGTGTGCTTCATGCAACACAAATTAGGAACATTCTCATCCTGCAGCCTGCTGACCTATTGATAACACGCGCAACATTACGGGCTCGCTATGCCAGCCTGTGCGGTATCGTTTTCCCTCATAAAGCGATACCAAACTGGAAAATTTAAGCTTGGAAGAACTATAACGAGGTTAAGTAAATTTTTTGGTGGGGCAGAAAATGCAAAACTAAAAAGGAATTCTTAACCTAAGAAAACAGTAAAATATACGATTGTTAAATTTCAAGACAAGTTTTCATGAATATGTTAAATTTGTAAAGGAAAAAAATGCATATCCCTTAAATAAAAAGTTTACATATAAGTAGTCTATTTAAAGGAGTCCGTAACGAAATTTATAGAACTTTTTAAATCCAAAATTATTTAATTTGCATAAATTATTGAAATTTTTAGCTGCTTATACCATTTTAAGACATAAATCCGAATATGTGAATATATACATAGTATACAGGGTAGTACTTAAACAAATTATATAAATACAGAAAATAGTTCCTTGGTCCACGAAATAAAAAAAATCGTTCAATGTCTATATTAACCCAATGTAAAGCAAAATTATTTACCTAGAAAATACCAGTACAAATATGTCAAAGATAGCTTCTTCGAATAAAGATACATATACTAATATTTGGTCCATAATCCTATTATTATCTCCACTACGTTCTTATACTTAAAAAGGCTTGGAAATTATAAGGGCATAAAATACATTTTTTGAAAAAATTATTTAAAATTTAAGATTATTTTTTGTTGTTTCACATACATTTTTCAATTATTATCGAACTAAAATTTTTAACTAAATAATTTCCTATCTATCACAGCTTACTTTCCTGTCACCGGAATCTTCTAGAAATGCTTATAGTCCATACTCTTGTATGCGCGTATACAATTGAGATCAGTGCCCACGTATTAAAACTCAGTTTTGATCAGTGTTTGGAAAACATAAAATAAGACTTGTTCTATCTTAATATAACATTTGTCTGGGTTGTAGATCTACAGAGCAGATAGAAACTGTGCTACACCTTATGTGTCAGTTCCCCTTATTTGGTAATTAGAAAACTTTAAAAATGTAAAGCTCCTCTTGTTGCCAACCTAATAGACGCGATCTGAAGCCAAGGTGGAATCTGTGTTTTTCAAACTTATATGTCAGCAATCACTTTGGGTAAGTAGAAGACTAAAAATCTTTGAGGCTCTTCTTTTTACACACATAAAAAAGGTGATATGCAGAAAAAGTAGAAACTGTGTTTTACCTAATATGTCAGTACCTGTTTTTGACAAGTTGAAAACTGGAAATGTTTGGGGCCCTTTTCATAGTCACCCATTAAAATAAGATATAAAGCAAAATTGATATAATTCTCTGTTTGGTTTACCAGAGACATATAAAACGGAAACAACAATATAGTTTTGAAGGCTTACATAAATAGAGAAGTTGTGCCTTTTTCCAATGTTGCCAGTGTGCTATATTCTTGGATCTGTGTACTTTTTATGTGATTCTCTTACTCTGAACAATAAAACAACATTTATTTTTGACATCGCAACAGACCATGTGTTTATGTTGGCTTTGGCGCGTAAGACTGTCGCTCCAACTTAAGCTCACCTATGGATTCTACTGTACCACTACACTCTGTCAAGACAATAGGCTTGGAAACAGACTGAGTCCAGCATTTATTCTACAAGAACGTCAAGGAAATCTTATTTTTAAAAACCGATTAGACTTGAGAAAATTAATTTCATTGCAGAGCTGCATCAAGTAGAGATATGTTTTACAATATGAGATCTATATTACCGAGCCTTAATAAATCCTTCTATCAATCATTTTATTATTTCATCTACTTTGTGGCATGTTTTCTTATGCTTGTGCTTGCTGATTCGCAATCTCTCCATATAAATTCTTTTATTATAGTTGGCTGTACGTCCAGCCAACTATTTTGGCAGTTCTTTTAATATTGGGTTTAGAAATCCCGATTATAATAATTGATTTTTATATTTTCTGTTTTCTTGCCAAACAAGACTTTTTCTAAATATGTTTTATTTAAAAATATGTGAGTTAAAATATTACTTAGGATAATCTATATATGCATACACATATAGATATAGTTTAATTTTGAGAACTTTAGTCGATTTTTTTCAATATTTCTCTGGCTAAACTTTGAATCTGTTCGCACTTGTGTTTTATCAATTGCTGTAATCTTTCGGTAATTTTACACATCTTTATAAGCGATACAACGTGTGTAATGAGCGCTCCTGCGTTTTCTATTATATAGGCAATGACTTGCAATGAGAGATCAAGTAAATCTTCATCGTAACACTTTAATAAAGCGCATAACGGACTTATACTACCATCCTTAATTACTGTCCAAACTTGATCACGCGAACCAATTGCAGTCAAATTAAACAATGCCCAAGTAGCCTCTTTCTTTATATCGAAATCAGTATCTTGTAAATTTTTTATAATTTTTGGCAATAAACCCGCGTTTATTACTGCTTGGATCTGGCATTCATTATTTCCTAGTAATCCTGTCATACACCAAAGACTAGCCTTTCGTATTATATTATGCGTATGTGTTAATAAGGATGGCATATATTTTAAAACGTTGTTATGAAGTACATACTGTGCTTGTGCCTCTGTACCCACTAACGTATTACCAATAGCACGTAATGCGACAGCTAAAAGTTTTACATCAAGACTAGTCAAACATGGTATGACTTGCGCGATAATACCTCTATCAATTAAAAGTTGTATAACATTAGAATCATACATTGTAAGGTGTGTCACGGCATACAATGCATCCAGTTTTGTTTCCATATCAGGGTCCGTCAACAATGTTTTTATTACTGGCAATATATCATTTATAGTTGATTTATACGATATTTTTTGACATATGTAACGCAAATTACAGCTTACATTTCGTTTTATAGTGAGATAATTATTAAAACGTTCGTACAGTGCAATCAATGCTTGCACAAGACCCGACTCAACTGCATCTTGTAAATAAACTGATGATCCACAAACACCTGTATTTGTAAAAGCTATAGCTGCTTTCTCACATATTTCTGGAGAGCTAGAATTCAGCATGTTTAGGAGAATCGGCAATGCACCTGCTTCAACAGCTAACTTCAAATGATCTGCACGTCCAGCCAAAATGTTATTTAATATCAAAGCAGATTCTCTCTGAACTTCCAAATACTCAACCTGTTTTGCACAAGACAATATTACTGGTAATATACCATTAACAATAAGCTGATCTACTGCATAGTCATCAAATCCAGAAATTATTTTATTAATTTCTTTTAAAGCTTCTAATTGTATATCCAAAATTTCTTTATTGCCGGCATCTACTATCAATTTTTTCAAACTATCCGAACTAAAAGAACTTTTTTCAGAATGAACTTTCATAACTTGACGCAATCTATCTGCGCGATTATAAAGAGACATTTTTATTGCAGTGATAATAAATGACTATTAACCAGATTTTAAGTTCTTAATTCAATAAGTAATATTAAAGAAACATATTTACAAGGGAGGTTATGTCAGATTACAGATATATTTCCTGACTACTTGTGTAAAAAATATAATTGAGTTGTTAATATCATATTTGAAATAAATTACTCTAATAAAAAAAAGGCCCCACATATCGGAAGAAAAATTTTATACTTTTTTAAGAAATACGGTCCCAAACAATAAAACTAATTGTTAATGTTAACATAACATTTATACTAGTATCATATCATATTATATATCTATAAATATATTTATATAAGAATATATCTTTATAAAGTACACTTAGCAAAATAGAGAGATATATAATATTGTGCAGACTCAAAACAGACTGACCAAAAATTAACTTCATTACTTCGATTTTGGCTAAATATTTTTGTTAAGTTCCTCTAATTAAATAAATAAATCCATGTATAGAGAAAAATGTATCAAATTTTTATTTTTTGGGATTAAAATTAAAAATAGGTGAGAGGCATTATCGTCATCCTCACCACAACTACGGCAAAAATAGTTGAAAGGGAGATTCAGTCTCCTAGCATGATTTTCTATAATACAATGACCTGTTAGTAAACCTACTACAAGACTGATATCTCTACGTGGCCACTCTAAGAGAGATTTCGATTTTCTAATGTTTGTCTGTGGCCACATTGCATACAGATGCCTGCATATCGCAAAGTCTTCCCATCTTTTGTTAAACAGTTCGGTACAGTAAGAACTCAATACCAATTTGCATGATGTCAACGATATGCCCAGATTGTTTAGGTGTTCCGAGTGGTTCCCTGAAGCAATCCGTCTCATTTATGTTAATAGACAACAGTTTAAATCGAAATATGTTACCAGAATAGATAGTGATGACGTTTCATGAACAATTAATTTCTTTTATTTTGCATTCCACAGTACTCATTCAAGTTATAGCCGGCGAATCGTTATACTTAAAACTTTTAGTTCTCCACCTTAGTTTTAGTTTAACCACAGATTAAACGTTAACCATAACTAATTCATAATGCCACTAATCTCAATTTCTTGAGAAATATATGCTGGATCAGTCAATACTATTATATTATTATTTATTAATTTATTATAATTATATACAATATGTAATACATTAAGTTAGAATATGAAAATTTTTCTATTAATGTTATCCTCTATCATTTTATAGTCATGTTATTACATAAAGATAAAACACTAAATATTAAAAAAAAAAAACCATTGAAATAAATTTAATGCAAATAAAAGTTTAATCTCATGTACCATTACACATCCTGACAAAATTTTATTGAGTCCTGCACAACTCATGCTTGTTAAAATCAACGATGGCTAACACTCAATTTAACGTAATTGCACATTTATCTGTTTGAACGGAAAATGAAAAATTATTGCACAATGTTTTTGGTACCCCCATTATATTAATCTACTCTACTACCAAAACGACCAAAAAAGGATATTGACAATAACAAGGATATAGCTAGCCAAATATTCTTCCCACATACTCGCACATGAAATTGTTTTTAACCAACTAAGATACAGGATATCGAGCAAAATAAAGTAAAACTAAACAGCAACAACATCACCAACAACAACAACAAATATCTGAGCCAATTCAGCAATTATCGGCTTAATTTTATTACCAAGTCATAAACAAGCAATGAGCAATCCAGCCATGCAGACATGGTACAAAGCAATATTGATTCCGACACAACAACAAACCAAAATCCTTCAAACGCTGTTCTGATATAAAATTCTCTATTGCATTCTTAGTGCAAAGATAAATCCTCATTACAAGCACTGCGGGAAACTCAATATTGTTCTGGACTATATCATTTCCTTTGAAACCATTTGTGTTTTTTTTTATAAATGAAAGCATACGGACTTAGTTATGTGGAAAAATAGCAAAGTATTTTGTCATCCAAATGAGACAGACCTTTAATTTTTGAGGAAAAAAATTCTGTTTTCTTGAAATATTGCTAAATTCTACTTTTCTAGAAATTATGGTAGATAATTACTCCTACGTATATGAGTTCGTTGCCTTCTATTCATTGGAAACCAAAATCCAAATTAATAAATCAAGATTATACTTAAATAAACCATTTAATCGATGTTACAAAAATGATAACCTTAGCAGAAAAACACTGTCAACATTAAAGTATCTTCCAATATATAATGTCATTATTCTTTATTTGTAGTCTTTGATTCTAATAACCATAAGAAATAAAATGTTCATTTATCGCAATCATTTAAAGAAACCTCCGTGACTTTTTTAGGTACAATTTTGGCGAGTTGAGTCCCATCTCTCAACTTGTCATTAATTAATTTTATTATTAATATATTTCCTTAAAAAATATCATTGTGATTTTAAGTTTTGGAACCGATACAGCAACACCAATCTTTTCTATTTAGGAGAGAAATCAATTAGTAGTTCCTTTTTTAGCTAGTTCGTTTATACTACAATTTAATTCTACATCAGTGTACCCTATATATTTTTGTAGGTCGAATCACTGAGTCATATAATTTATGGATTTATGGCAATTAACCAGTGACTTCACATTTGATCTCACTGAGTCTAATCCTTTAACAGGGGACTTGGCTATTAAAATAAATATCTATAGTTGTGGTCCTGAATATATATTTTTTTAGTATTTTAACTGCAAAAATCAGAAAATCAGGTAAATAAATTTTAATGCATTGTTTTGAATAATTCCAATCTACTTAATTGTTAAATTTGACACAACCGTATAGACAGATTATTACATCTATGTTAACCCACGATTGCTTCAAAGTAATAAGAAGTTTATAGTATATTAATTAGATATTAACATTAAAAAAAACTAAATAATACTGATTAGAACAAATTAACTTCTTTTGGCCAAGTACTGCTCTTTACTAACAGAAATTGGCTGACCATATATAGATATTTAAAGATCTACTTTATTTGAACTGGAGTCATCGCATGCAAATCTATAATTACCTCATGTAAAAAGCATTGAGCAATCATTAATATTGTAGAGGAAAATCTGGTCCGGATGATCAGATTGGAACGCTTTTTGGGTCTTATATTGCCATTGCTTTGTTGACTCTTAATGTTTATATAGGAAGCATATTTAAATTACACCGTACCTTCCATAACAAACTTGAATTGGTTGGAAGGATAGAATAGTACATTGGGTTTTTTTAAAGTTATATCAGGACTTACGCTAGTTTTTGAAAAATTGAAATTCGGGCTTGCATCGATTTTTAGTTAAGAACTTCAGTGTTTTCGTCGTGTTACTTTTAAATATATTGGATTTGCTGAATCAACATTCAGTGGGATGTTTATACAGTAACTTCAATGTATCCACGAATAAAGATTTGTTTCGTTCTTAGTACCGCGAAAGCAACCTGTTTACTGAAATAGCCTTCACAATGTCTGATATTGATCTCTTTTTCGACTTTAGTAGTACGTTGATCGACTTTATATGGCAACTATTGAACCAAAGTGAGCGTACAGGTACGCGCACAATTTGCTGAAGGGCTCCACGAGGTTCCTGTCAGTTTTTGGATATTATTTCATTTTATATTTCGTGTAGCTTTTCATATATTTAATATCTTTAAATTAACACATACTATAAATCTAAAACTAATGTCCAACAATTTATATTACAACCAGAATACACAAATATGTTGTTATTGTTGGTATACCCCGCAGGGATCTCTGAGAACAGATAACATGAAAAGAATCACATGATGAATACATGGGTTAGGATGTGGATGGGTTATGGTTGTGGAGAAGAATTATTAGGGAGCGCGGTGGATTGATGGATGGGTGTGACTTAAATTGAAGTCAACCAGGAGCACGACGGCGAAACCTTGTTATGTAGTACAACTATTTAGTGTCTCAAAGGTAATATTTCGAACCTAAGGAATCGCACGATAATTTTACAAATAATATACACACTCGGAAAGATATCTACTCTATACTAATTTAACAAAAAAGTTAGAATAATATTTTTTAATTCTGTTGACGTTCCTGAACCTAAAAAGTCAAAGCATAAAAAATAAACATATATCTATTATAACTAAACTCTGATATATTGTATACATTTAATTATTCCTGTCACAATTTTATAAATGATTAAATCATATTGTATTATTTGTGTGTTTAATAAATATACGCATAGAATTAATATCAAAAATATTAAACAAGTTGCAAAAATAATTAAATTATTCAATAACAAAAAGTAAAATAAAATATTAATTAAATAATTAAACTAAAGCATTTTATGTAAGTTATATGTTTCTATCAATAAACATTTTATAAAGCTTTGTAAATTTACAAATTAAATATTTAAGATGTTCAAAAATTTTATATTCAATTATTCTTTAAAACTACATTAAAGCAATTGTATTAAATTTTAAGATTTTTAACGCACAATTTGGTATTTTTTAAATCTAAGAACGTAAAGAAGCTAAACGTGTTTGCATTTCCTCCAATTCCTCTTCCTCCTCTTCTTCAGCTTCATGTCGTACTGTAGCGGCGGGTGTTTCTTGCTTTTCTGCTGCAATACCTTCCGGCGGTAGCGGTGCTTCTCCCAGTTTACCATTAGTTATTTCCCAAAGTACGTTATCGACTTCCTTAGCAGCTTCCTCTTCCATTTCTTCTGAGTCCTCAAGTGAATCCATTGTTTCATCGAGCATTTCTTCAATAATACCCGCTTTCATCATTTCTTTCGACATATCACGCATTATGCCAGCCAATTCAGGATAACGTACTAAACTTTGCATAGCCTGCATCACTTCTGTAGATTTTTGCAATGAACCAGCAACTCGTAAAGTCGCTATAAAATAATGATAAATTTATACAAAACATTACAATTTTTTAAATAACGCAACTTACACAACTGATTTTTCATTTGTAATTGTACTGAGTTAAGATGTGCTTTTGACGTGTATATACGATTAATAGCCTTACGTGCCCCAACAATTTCTTTTGCCAAAATGATGCAAGTGTCCCGGTCATTTTTGGACGCAGCTTGCTTTAGCGAACGTTTTACTTTCTCTTCCTCGCGTTGTATGCTGCGTATTTGGCGGTCCAACTGATTGCCTTCTTTGCGTATTTTATGCGTCCATTCTTGTACCTAAAGTATATACAATTTTTAAGTACAGTTTTATTGTTTTGGATTGGAAGAGAAACCGCGCAGATGACGTAGTTGCATTTTTTACGACCATGAACTAATTTATATACGGCAAATGATGTCACCTTATGTATTGAATATTAAAAACTTACTTGCTCCTTTGGATCTTTTGTTGGTGTTTTACCAAATAAACCCATTTCTATTTTTTTATTTTTTTTTTGTAATATGATCTTTAAAACAAACTGTTAAATTAATAAAACTACTTAAAGTGACTCATTTACTTGATTTGTTTATTTGTTTGTGTCACAGTAAATGTCATTTATGTTTTGACTTTACGAATTCTTCTTGCAGCTGCGCAGTACAAGCATACTTTAATGTAGATTTATTCAAACATTTTTAGAAACATTTAATATATATTATTAAAAAAAAATAAAACAAAATTCTATTAATTTGTTAACAGCAACCTTAAAATATTGTTTTTATTATATATATTATACTACGCATTAAATTGATAAAATTTGACAATTGTGTTTTTACAAACTTTATTTTGTACTCTTAAAAACTGAATTGTATAGTACAAACCAATATTTTTTGTAACAGCTGTTTTGGAGGTTATGTGTGCAAACAGCTGTTCATGTCTCTCGCACACGCTCATTGCATCACCACGAGATGCAAAATTTTGTGTAAAAATATATTTTTTGTTTATCTTAATAAATTGTTAATAAAATCTGCATCTGACATGCATAACTCACGGAGAGGCCTCAGCCTGTTATGTGCTCTGAATGTTAAATCTCCGATTAGTCAACTGAATCCTACAACTACAGTGTTAATCAGCAAATGTGTTCACCGGAGCAGCTACCAACAAGCAAGACATAAAAAGAACAATAACGCAGCTAATGTTTCTACATTATTTAAACCAGTGCCGGTGCGCCATAACACAGACGAACTAGATGTCGGCGCTGAGCTCGTTGGAAAACTAGACAAATCTGATATATTAAAAATTTTAAATAAGTTTACACAAAGACGGGAGATAAAACTGCTCTCCAGTGAAAATGGACTTGACTGTAAATTAAATATGTTCTTTTTTAAAACAACTCATTAATATAATAAATTTACAGCTTATCTATTACAACAAGCATTTGCTTCGTTTAGACGTTATTGTATTGAAGCGGACAATCTACCTGTAGATTTACACATAATATTTAGCGATATCAGTCAAGGTGCTGGACATATTGATGACATATTTCCGTACTTTTTAAGACATGCAAAAACAGTGTTTCCCCATTTGGATTGTATGGATGATTTAAAAAAAATATCTGACTTAAGAACGCCTGCTAATTGGTATCCCAGTGCACGCGCTATTACACGAAAAATCGTGTTTCACGCCGGCCCAACAAATTCAGGAAAGACTTACCATGCTATGGAACGTTTTTTAACTGCTAAAAGTGGTGTATATTGTGGCCCGCTAAAACTACTAGCAACAGAAGTTTTTAACAAATGTAATGAAAGGGTAAATTAAAATTTAATTAATTTATCAAAATGACTACATAAATAAACCAAAATTAATAGGGTACACCATGTGACTTAGTTACTGGAGAGGAACGAAAATATGGCATTAATGAAAATACACCAGCAAATCATGTCGCGTGTACAGTAGAAATGACATCTGTTAATACACCTTGTAAGTGTAGTTTTGAAGTTCTGCATAACATTTGGAAAATAAATTTTTTTGCTTTTTAGATGAAGTTGCTGTTATTGATGAAATACAACAATTACGTGATCCTCAAAGAGGCTGGGCATGGACACGTGCATTTCTCGGACTAATTGCTGATGAAGTACATGTTTGTGGTGAAGCTGGCGCTTTGGAGCTGTTACAAAAAATTTGTGAAACAACAAATGAGACAGTGGAAGTACATAATTATAATCGTTTAACACAACTCACTGTAGAAGACTCAGCATTAGTGACACTTGACAATGTAATGCCTGGCGATTGTATTGTATGTTTTAGTAAAAACGACATATACTCTGTGTCTCGGCAAATTGAAGCAAGGTAAAAGGGTAATGAAGTTTGAACAATTTTTTATAATAAATGTAATTAGCTATTTTACACATACGTAGAGGAAAAGAAGTAGCTGTAATATACGGTGGCCTGCCACCTGGTACGAAACTTGCTCAGGCTGCTAAATTCAATGATCCTGAAAATAGTTGTAAAGTTATGGTTGCTACAGATGCTATTGGAATGGGACTTAATTTGTAATGACTATATTGAAAAATTATTTAACTAACAAATAAAACTAAATTTTATTTACAGGAGTATACGTCGAATTATATTTTATTCATTGGTAAAGCCGTCGATGAATGAAAAGGGTGAACGTGAAATTGATACAATATCAGTCTCATCAGCTTTACAGATTGCAGGTAGAGCAGGAAGATTTCGCACACAATGGGAACATGGTTATGTGACAACTTTTAAAGCAGATGATTTGCCGGTTTTAAAAAAAGTTTTATCACAATCACCAGATCCACTTAAGCAAGCTGGCTTACATCCGACTGCCGATCAAATTGAGTTGTATGCTTACCATTTGCCAAACTCAACATTAAGCAACCTTATGGTACATATTGAATGTTATAATATATTGTACTTTATAATTATCTTTACTCTTTTGTTTGTATTTTAAGGATATATTCGTAAATTTATCTACCGTCGATGATTCACTATACTTTATGTGTAATATTGAAGATTTTAAGTTCCTGGCTGAAATGATACAACATGTACCATTACCTTTACGTGCTCGATATGTGTTCTGTTGTGCACCAATAAATAAAAAAATGGCATTTGTTTGCTCCATGTTTTTAAAGGTTTGATCATTTACTTAAATTGCAAAAATTTGATAAACATTAAACACTTTAACAAACTAGATCGCACGTCAATATAGTCGCAATGAACCTGTTACATTTGAATTTATAACCAAGAATTGTGGCTGGCCATTTAGTTTACCAAAAACCATTTTAGATTTAGTACATCTCGAATCAGTTTTTGATGTAATGGATCTCTACTTATGGTTAAGGTAATTAGTTTTATTTTAATATTTAACTAACTACAGATTAATGTTCTTTTATATTTCTTTTAAGCTATCGGTTTATAGATTTATTCCCAGATGCACCTGCAGTACGTATTGCACAAAGAGAATTGGATGAAATAATACAGCAAGGAGTTTTTCAAATAACACGTCTATTGAAGAATACCGAAGCTAATCAAAATGCTAGTGACGGTGACACCACATACAATATGCGTAGAACTACACAATTTAAAGGTAATTTCTTAATAAGTTTTGTTAAAGTTTTTGCTTTATTTATTTTATTAATATGTTTGTGCTTTTTTTTTAAATTAGAACCTCGCGTACCAACCAATATGCGTGGACGGTTAACAGAACGTTTATTAGCTCAAGGTTTACTTACTCCTGCCATGTTAAGTGAATTAAGAAAAGAATGGGATAGGCAACAACACTCACTTGAAGAACGTAATTTTAGTAATACATTTGATGACAATGAAGATGATAATGAATATAATGACTCTACTCATAAGAAATTTCGGAGGAAACGTAGAAAGTGAATTTAGCTCTGATATATTTAGATAGTTAATAGAATTTTACAAATATCATTTGTAGCCAAATCATAATTATTTGTAGCTTATAAAATTTGTTTTAAAATTTTAGTTTATATTGTATAGTAAATTTTGAAATATATTTGTAAGCTTTAAAATAATAATGTGTAACATTACAATATCGTAAAAAATATATTAGTAAAATCAGTATCTATTTTATATTTATTAAAATGATAAAAGCTGATATCTTGTTACTTATTATATAAAAGATAATTTAAATATATTAAGATACTAAATTTTATTAAATGTATTAATATTAATTTTTATAATGTTTTGTATTAATAGAACTGGGTTGTGTAACTTAATTATCCAACAAAGCTCAATTCAAATTTCGAATAGATCGAAATGAAATCCTTTTTAATTTATGAACATTAAACACTATATACCACTAATTCGATTCCCATTTGGGAACAATATTTAATACATCCTCTTTTTTTTCTAGTCTTTGATTATTATTAAGTAGTGTATGCGGGTAATGTTCGAATAGTTACTTATACATACAAGTAGCATTGTTGTGACATGGATATCTGTATGAAAAATGTTATACTCACTCTAAAATTAAATTGTGGTATATAAATATATATATTTTTTAAAACCTTATTAAAATCTGTCAAATTTAATTCAAATAAAAGTATTTATTTTAGACCCATACAAAAGACTATGTCCACTGTTAGCCATACATATTTATATGTAATGATATAAAACACTATCACACATTATCTTTTCATTACACATCGTATTCAGCTTAGGATGCTTGTTTGGTTGCAGTAGCAGGTCATCAGCTAAATTTCCATGTATCTCAATTAGCGGTTTTTCGCCGTTATGCCACCAAATTTCTCGCAATAAACCTCTAAGATAGAAGAGTACAAACTAAATCCATCCCTTTGAATTTAGATAATTTTATAGGTCTTTCGTCTTTACCGATGGAAACTCTGATAAGCTGTCAAAGAAATACATCATTAAAAACCTATTTCAGAAACCAAAGCCAAGCATTCACAGAAAAAGTGTTTATTGGTTGTCTTTCCTGCAGGTTTCCACAACTTCTGCAGTAAAGATCATGAGGACTGCGTGCGTTCCTGTACACCAATGAGCAAAAAAGACTGCAGTAAGCCATGTAGTAATCGATCTCTTTTGATAAGTTTCCAAGATCTAGTTTTATTCTAGGCGTGCCATGTTAACCAGGAAGTTGCACTTGACTTAAATGCATTCCATGTGTTATTGGCAAGCTGAAGAAAATTTAGGTAAGTTCTTCTTTTAACGAACCAAGGTGGGCTAAGCCGTCAGTTTTCTTGTTCCCTGTTATGTTCATATGTCTAACCTGGGTTAATTGTGTAATATTTTTTTAGGCAGACAGGAGACTTAATCGTCTTGAAAAAAATATGTCCTGAACGGACTATTTGCTTAAAATATGTAAGATATTATTAATTTAGTATATTAAAATTAAAACTAATTAAAAAAAACAACAGTGTTTTTTATTTTTATTATTGGCAAATTTTATTTTGTAAAATTTTATATATTATTTTTTATTTTCTGTGTTTACTGAATTTAAAAAATTATTATAATTTTAAAAAATTCATTTATTAGCTTATATTTTATCTATTTAATTTATTTTTATAAAAAATCTTGATCATTAAAAATGTGCTAATTTTTTAACTTTTTGTTTTGTTTTTTGTTTTACCAAAAAGAAATGTATTATATATTAATACAATGTGATAATATTACAATGTATTTAATTTTAATACAAAATTTTATTT